CGCCATGGAGACGGCCGACGAGGAGATCGCCGAGAGCATGCCGCCCATGCCGAGGAGCTCGAGCGGTCCATCTCGCCGCGTGTGGCGAGGCGGGGGCTGCACGCGGCGACCCGCGGTCCATCCTGCTGGCGCTCAGCGAACAGCCCTGATGAAGATGCCGCAGTCCGACGCCTCATCGTCCTCCTCCTCCTCCTCCTCCTCCTCCTCCTCCTTCCCTCCTCCTCCTCCTCCTCCTCCTCCTCCTCCTCCTCCTCCTCCTCCTCCTCCTCCTCATTTTCCTCCTCTTCCTCCTCTTCCTCCTCCTCTTCCTCTTCACACAGAGGCTGCAGATACGTATGTCGCCACCCTGAGCCAGCGCTTCAGCGGACCATCGACCTCGCCGCAGCCGCCCGCGCCCCGAGGCGCCGTCAGGGCAAGCGGCCCCCTGCTGCAGATACGTCCGCCTCCTCGACATCGACGCAGGGGAGGTGCGGCGGCGGCATCCCACCAAGAAGCCGATCCCCAAGCAGTCTATCCTCTTCGGCCACGGGTTTATTCCCGTCGAAGAGGGTGGAATGACAAAAACTGAGCATCGCGGGGCCGATGAGGCTGGCTCGAGCAGCCCGGTCACCCGATGGCAATCTGCCTCTGCCAACGTTGTCACCCTCAATCCACGTGAACATGCCCAGACCTCTACACGTGGTTCCTTCGCCCTCATGCTGGGCAAGGTCCAGATGCTCGAGCTCGACTGCAACCGCTCCTCCCTGGAGGGTCGTGCTTCGCAGTGTGCTGTCCACGATGGCGTCCACTACCGCGTGTGCGCTGGCTGTGCGGACTCGGACGGCCAGTGCGGGTGCTGCATTCCGTGCCCTCCTCGCTCGTAGTTGTGGCCACGCGCCTGTCCCCTGGGCTTGACAGCTTCGGGTGCCTTCGGCTCGTGGCCGCCTCGTGCTCCGCTCTCCCAGTTGCGGCGAAGCCTCTCGGGCTCGTGCTGCAACTTATGGTATGCAAGCCAGGTCGGTGGCCCCAGGCAGACAATTGTATATCCTTTGTTGAGTCTGCGTGCGACCTGGGGGCGGGCGCCGTTCCTTCTTGTGGCGCGCCTTTTGCAGAGCGCCAGTGCTACCAGTGTTCCTCTGCATCTGCCGCCTCCTGGGCGCCTTCTGGGGGCCTCAGGGCGAATCCTTGGGCCACCCTGCTTCCCACCGCGGCCTCCCAGCACGACCAGGCCACGACTTGGAGTTGTTTGGGGGCCGTTTTAGGCCGTCACGTGGCCCTCTCCGGGCCATCTTTGGGCCCTGTTGGGCCGTCTCGGGGCTTTCTTGGACTGCCTGGGCGCCCACATGGGTAGTGTTCGGGCCATTTTTTGGGCCTCCCTGGCGGTCTCGGGCGCCCGGAAAACGGAAGGACTGAGCACTTCCGGAGTCACACAACGTTTCAGTGGAAATCAATGTCTGTTTGCGTTTCGAACGCGTCATGCGGGTCTTCGCGGGGTCGTCTTCGGGCGTTAGGCGGTCGTCTGGGGCCCCTTGGGGCTCTCGCGGGGCCGTTCGGCCGCCCCCCTGACTGGTGTGGGCCAGTTGCCCAAGCCGAGCAGGGTCGTCCAGGAGCCCTGGAAAACCCAGGAGGAGGGGCAGGAGGAGGAGGAGGAGGAGGAGGGGCAGGAGGAGGAGGAGGAGGAGGAGGAGGAGGAGGAGGAGGAGGAGGAGGAGGAGGAGGAGGAGGGGAGGAGGAGGGGAGGGACATTCTGCAGGAGCTTCCAGGACCCCCCCCCCCCGGTGCCACGGATCCTGGGGGTCCCGTTCCCCCCCCCCCCCGGTACCGTAGACATATGCGTAGAAACGGGAATCTGTACTCCAGATTTCGTAATAAAAGGGAGGGGGTCTGGACCCTCCAAGACAAGCCATTTCAGACCTCCCCCGTGGAGAACCCTCCAAAACATCGTCCCCAGACCCCCCCAGGCCCTCCAAGATAGCCTGGAAGAGACCCCCGCCGAAATGAGACCCCCCTCCCTTTATTACGAAATCTGGAGTACACGCCGGTCGTTGAAAGTAGGTATTTCTGGATTCCCAGATCCCAATCTACTTCAAGCGCCTTCCTACTTCAAGAATCGACACGCTTTTGCTGTGTTTTGCTATTCTCTGGGGGGGCCTGGACCCAATCCACTATATCCGCCTTCCTACTTCATGTTTCTACCTACTTCTTCCGACCGGCGTGTACACATGTCGTATACGCAGTCCCGCCCAGGCCAGGGGGCGCATGCGCCAGCCCTGGGCCTCGGACGGGACGGGCTTGGCCAGGACCGGCGTGGGTGTATTGTTGGCGTCCTCCTGGCTCCGCCCGTCTCTCCGCAGCCTGTTCTTCGCCACCTCGGGGAGCCTTGCATGTCTTCGACAGACCGTCTCAGGGTGCATCAGCGTGTGCTGGCGTCTGGTAGTCGATGACAAAATGTCGAATCGCGTCGATTAGCGTTCTGCTTCAGCGTCGAGCAGCGTCGACTTGCAAGAGCCAGTGAGAGGACCAGGGCGGCTCCTGAGAGTCGCCACAGGACCCTTCCTCCGAGAGCCGGCCACAGGCATAGGAGAAGGGAAACTGTACAGGTCAGCTCTCTTGGCCCTCCTCCTTCCCCCCTCCTCCGCGAGGGGGGCGACAAAGGAAGGGAGAGGAGGAGGGTCAAGAGAGCTGACCTGTATTGTTTTCCTACTCCCAAGGCAGGAGCACGCGCGATTTTTCCCTGCCCCCCCGGCGCCATTTTCTCAGCAGTCTGCCCCAGATGGCGGCCAGAGCCGAGCGGACGGCGGGATCTGGCCTCGTTCGCGTGCCCTCCGCCCCGCCCCTCCTCGCCCTCGCCTCACGTCGGGCATGCCCGTCTACAGGAGGAATATTCAATGCCAGTGAACAAGTGGTCTGGGGACGATTTTTCTGTTATTATATGGGTTATTTTCAAGTGTTTTAATTTTTTAATGATTCCTGAAAAATCCGTCTGTGGGAGGACTTGCCCGACTCCACCCTCGCCCCGCCCTGCACTCGGCGGCGTGCCCAGGGGGGAGTGAGGAGGAGCCGGCCCTCTCAGGAGGCGGCGGGGCTTCTCAGAAGCCTTCCGGCCTTCGGAGGAGGTTTTTGTGTCTTCGGGGGAGGTCTACAAAACTTCTCTCAGAAGGCTCGAGGCCTTCTAGGAAGGCCCG